AGGGCCAAACTTAAAGAGCTCTAGAAAGGACGTTTTGTTTTGGTTTAAGCAATGGCTCATTGCTCTAGATGTGACGCTGCCGTACTGCCTCCGTGCATATTAGCGCCAAGATATCATATCGAACAATATTGGTAATAACGTAAAACCAAGGGATTACCTTCAAATTGTATATTTTTGGTTTTTACCAAGAAACATTCTGTCGATAAAAGTCATTTCCACTTATACACATGGGACATAGCATCTGAAATATTGTGCAACCTATCGTTAATGTTTAACACAATAATGAGCACAACATGCTTTGATGTTAAGGTTGTTTTATTTGAGCATAAGTTTGTATAATTCAACAAATCAATAGCATATAATTCTTAACATGGGTTTTAACAAATCATCCTATCAAAAATTCATTAAAATGAGTTAATAAAAGTTAAATATTGTTAATTCTAAAAAAACCATTACACATGTTGTGTCATTGTTTGAAAGTTTTGTGTCTTGGCATTTCACTTTTTTACACATCAGCTTTGTACTATGCGGGGCAAGAAGACCAGACCTATACGGCTTCTTTGATCGAGATCAATTGACTAGTTTGATGCTATTGTTTATGTAAGTTATCGTGTACGTCAATGTGACGTAGCATACTTGAACTTGCCGAGTAAAATATACCGGTACATCACCGTACATGGTCCATAAACGTAATAACAAATTTTTATATGGATATACTTTATCAGCTCCAAATAGCCCTACCTAGTAACTGGGATCATTTTTTTATCTCAGCGTATGAAGTGGACATTTATTGTCGTAATTATCCCCTATTACTTATCACATTTTATCTAAATCAAGGATTTATCAAATTTAAGGTAGCATTCCGTCAGGAGCGCCATCACCCGTCCATGTCTCCAAATATACGCATGCATAATTCGTCTCCGTATTCCTATTTCTAGAATCGTGTTTTGTGTGGCATCGACACCTCTAGTTATACGGTAAATTTAATCACAATTAAATATACAAAAGTAGATTTTAAACACTGTCACGGCGTAAAATATATATGATTTAATGCGCTAAGCATCATCATAAAACTACTTAGCTGTCAGAAACCGAAATATCAGTCTCGTCGAAGTCAGGAGTATTGAGACGAAGTACGCCTGTTATCGTAACCAAGCTGAAACCCGCATAAAACGGTGCTTACCCTGTACATGTATATGCGATCACCTCTGTGGTGTTTCAGCAATTTTGTCCCCAACACCTATCTGAGCAAGCCTGTTTTAAAAACTAAAACAAGAAGTTTAAAATGCGTTGGATTTCATATATGTGACTCTTAAAACAAGACTCGAGGACGCATCAGAGTCAATGTATATTTCATTTGGTGTTTTGCCAGTGTTTTAAAAGATAAAATATTAATTTATAAGAATGAATGTTCAATTGGTACACCAAAGTGGGGTAGGTATTCTAAACTGAATAAGAAATCAAGGATAGATGCAGTAATATATCCTCGTGGCAGCCATAGATACAATAATTGCTGAAAGCCTACAGAAGGTTTGTGGACGACTCCAGTTCATATACGGGAGAGGACTGGTAGTAAAAACATCTGTCACATCACTGGCAGTGATCTGAGCTACGTTTTCAGTTTAAAATCCCTTGTAAAACAAACCGAAGGCTCTGCAGTTAAGCGTGCACGCTGTCCTTGGACTTGGCTTTCACAACGGAACGGAACTGGTCACGTGACATGGAGTCCCATCTGGCGATCATACTTCCGGTGGAAGCTGCTAAGAAGTTCACGTCGGTGGCATAGAGATACAAGTCACTTTGCGTGAAAGGGATACTTAATTCATTTGGAAGTGAAGTACTTGATAAAGCTAACTTTTTAACGTCGTCTTCCCTGATACCGTTCGGGGAGAGCTTTTCAGCTTCCGGTATGTTGCCATTTTGTTTTTCATCACTGATAACCTGTCCTGACTTTTCCTTCTTTTTCTCAAGTCTCGTTTTGATTTCCACCACGTAGTATAACAAGAGAGAAAGCACAAGCATGGTCATACAAATGTAGATCTTCGTTGCCACGCATAGAAGGTTTCCATAGGCGAAGGACACTGTAAACCCCACCCCTTGCCATAGGTGATAGTTTGCAAACGCTGGACGCTGGTTGTGTGAGAAATGTATCCCAAGCAGGGCTAGAAAAAAAAAAAACGAAGTAGTATTTTATCATAAATTTCTAGTTTCTTAACAGTAATTCAAATAAAACACAATATTACAAAAGATACGGATGTATAACGCTTATAAATGTGTCTGTCTGCGAGCGAGACATACGTTAACGTAAAAACTTACACATTCAAAAATGCACAATACACAATATGGTTTTCAGTTTACATCAGTTTCAGTGTTTTCAGTGTAAACCAAATAGAAACACTGAGTGCCCAGCATTACCATGGCACGTTATGTAGACGGATTCAGAGTATAAAATGTGGACCCACAGACTTTCAAGTGCGCTAAATGAGGATAAACTGTTTATTTTTTTTTTCAAGATAACTTGACATCCAGAAGACTGACAAAAATTTATAAAATATATTCGATAAAAATATGGCAAAAAAACATAACCTTAAAGAGACTAATCGTATTTTTAAATGATTAATGATTAAGACATGCATCCTCACAAAAACGATTTGACTTTTAACCATCATGACGCACAAAACCATGAAAAACCTATTTTAATATACATGAAAATACATAAATTAATCTCACCAAGAGTTCGGCTTTGCCACATCCCATTCAAAACTCCCCAAATCCCTGGTATGAAGAAGAAGTAACCTAAATGCTCTTTAGACACCGGGTAGACCAACATCTGGATAAACAGGGCCATGTTAATGATTCCTGCCGCAGTGTAGTTGATGGGGAAGCCGATCCACTTATGGAGGTGACCAAAGACCCAGGGGGAGATGGCGCTGGTGACGCCGTAACACATCATGGTATAGCCGACCCATTCTATTCCCAGCTCACAAGCCACGAACGCCTGGAAAAGAGAATTTTCAAAATGAAAAGCAGGCTGACGCGTCGTCAGGATAATGTCCTCTCCAAAAATAAAAGTAGCCCATTGTTTTCATAACGGTTCTGTGTACGGGCAAGACGCCGACGGAATCTGTACGGAAGAAATCCTGAAAGTTAAAAAATTATTAATACTTTTGATCCACATCATTATCGAACTATGAACTTTAGTAAAAATCCGGTCTTAAGACAGAAACGCAGGACAGAATATATGAACCAATCTATCAAGCAGGAAACAGGCGAATGCAGTTCATACATGACAAGCGTTAATTGATCTCTTTAAAGTAGAAGTGTTTCTCCATCAAAGACCACTGGTGAATTGCGGGGGGGGGGGAGGCATAAGGTTTGCTCAGCACCAATAAAGCGTTTTACGAGGACGGCTTCACAAAATAAGCAGAGTGCTGGATTGTCAAAAGATTTGGCTTTATCTCGTATCGCATTTTATACAGTTTCTGTAGATTAAGGGGGGGAGGGGGAAGGTGGACACCTCGAGGACCCTCGATCTCTATCCATTGGTAGGCATAGACACCTGTTACGACGCACCCCTCTATCTCTCCATTCAATATAACTGAGAGCACTATATGTTTGTGTATACATACTTACATCCATTAAAAACTATGTATACACATGTACCTCATACATGTACCAATGGTTATCGTATCTGTACCCCCTTTTACAATCGAGCTACTGACCCATATCCGATTAAGTTGACCAGTGTTGTGAATTATGAAGATTATGCATGGCTGATAGGCTCTCATCACTGTTGCGAACAACACTTTTATCTATAAAGAATGTTTTCGCAACATTTAGCTTAATGTTTTTTTTTTTAATTTTTCATTTGCAATATGATATTTATTGTTGCATCGCCGAGTAAACCACCCATACTGTGTCACCATCTGGCAACGCCATAACGTATACTTTTGGCAATAATCAAGGTTTTGGTTATTCAGTGGTTTAATTTTATGCCATACGTAAGACGCCTTGTGAGATTAAGGTTGAGTTCTGACTTGGAGATGGACAAATAATTATACATAGGCCAAATCAGCGACCTATTACGCAAATTAAAATGGCACGTGTACGTGGATTGTTCCGTACAACCTGGGTGACCAGTTCTCAAAAAGTCGATGTATATACAGGATCGAGTTAACGGCACTTTACATACAAAGTAGATGTGCTTTAATATCTTATCGTATCGCAATCCCCATAATACTACTTTTAAAACTGGCGGCAACTGCAATATCAGCTTCGGTGACAATGAACGACTATTTATCTGCACAATACTTAAACAGATTCACTTGCTTCTATGCAAGTTTACATGTAGCTACGATGCTTAAATCAATTATATAAGTACAAATGTCCTCACATGTAATAAACTCACCTTTGTAAAAACACTGTATATAAAAGCTTGATGGAACCCATTAAATGAAAGCAAGGGAATAAGTAAACACATCTTTGTTTCCTTCAAGCATAGCGAAACTGTACTGAGCAATAATGCTTTGGGCCCTCTTATATTTGGTGCAGCGTGTTTTTTGTGATCTACAGGCTTCAGGAGACAAATCGGTAAAGTGCAACCTATCAGTACTAGCGTGAGGTACGCGCCAATTAGAATATACACCAAGTGATCTGGCGGTCTAGCAGATCCTGTCTGAACGTGTTTGTGCTTTGTTTCTGTGACAAGTGGGCAGCTGTCTCTGCTACAGAATGCAGTCATGTTACTCATACTAACGTTCCCGAGATCGGAATAATCATGCTCAGTCTGCTTAAAAACCAACCAGGACAGTACATTTCCCCAAATATGAGACGTCTTAAAAATCAGCCAAAATATCCCAGTGAAGCGGCTTATGCTTATAGGAATCTTTTGATTGGTGGCCTTGGCGTAGTCGAGTGCGTAGATGGTAAGAAAGATCCCCTGAGCGGTCCATAAAGGTCCCCACATAAGTCCAAGCAGTAAGGCGCCCGGTAGCAGTGTATACGGTGCAACGTAAAAATTCGATGCTTGCCAAAGTGCATGGGACACAAAGCCCAAGACAACCACAAACTTTGGCCCCAGTTTCGCCACCACCGCGGGAGCGAAGAAGGAAGATACGATAATCCCAGTGTAGACTAAGCAGAGGGCGACAACACCAAGGCCGCCTCTGGCATTCAATGTGCTCTGTAAATTTTGTATGCCATTGTGGGCAATATAAACTATCAAATACATCGATGCCAGCGCAAAAAGCTTCAGGTAAGAGCTCCTGGCAGTCGCCATTTTCTGTTGTCCACCTCGAACAGTGAAAAACACTTTAGAAAACTATTTTAAAAAATCGTTTTCTACATGACTGCGATCACGTCTTTACAGACAACTTACACTGAAGAGAACCATAAACCCAAATGCTCAGAGGTTATGTATTGAGATTAGGTAATTAACCACCGAATTGGAACTGTGTCACTACGAACGGCAAATACTTGTACAAAGGTCATGTTTTACAATATCTGTTAACATTAGGGTCATTGTGACACTGGTTGCATAAATGTCCCAAGAAGGTCATCTTAATTGTCACTTATATGGAACCAACAGGGCTATCTGTCTATTTAAAAGACAAAAATCTTAATAACAACATCACTATATTAGCCAACCATGAGGTAGGGCGTGATAATCACGCATTAGGTGCGTGTACAATTACGGAAATAATTGGGTTATCGAAACGAATCTACACAAGAAGAAAGACCCATTGGGTTCTAGGTTGTGTGCAATGAACCACCGATGCAATCTGCAATTCACAGATTAAAAACACAATGTCAGTACATACGCGTGTAATACAAAGGAAACACTGTCGAACTCCCCTCCCGAACTCCTATTAAAAATACAATCACTTCATTCAAAACAGACAGACAGACAGACCACACTTAGTCCACACTTACTGGACCCTAAATAGACCATTTGCTTAAATCAAGATGGTTTTAATACTTTGAGACGTAGCACTATGGAAAATGACAATAAACGTTCCCTGTGTTCTTTACATTTGAAATGGACAAAATATTCCGATGTAGCATCACAGCAAGTTTCATCTTCTCTATAAACCTTTGATCGGCACGTTATTGCGTCAAGATCAACCAAAGATAGAAGGAGATCCCGGCGCAATACGTAAAAGTATAATTAAAGATGTATATAATTGAAAGTGGCTACCAGAAACGTAGCGCAGAATCCTGTTCATGGTTAGTAACGGATAATATCGGGTCAATAATAAGGGATGTCGACGTAACGTTAATCCGTAATGTGTGCACTGCGTGGAATTTCAAAATTGTTCAGATACAGACACCATTTGTCGCGTTGGGCGTATGTGCCGTCTCATGCGTCCATAACACACATGGCATCATGGCCAAAGCAAGTCGAGGTAGACTTACAACGAATGAAATTTCTTCAAGTTTAATTAAAAAAAAATTATGAATACAGTTATTATAAACGACTTTTAAAGAGTGTGATTAAGCAACGTTTTTAATTTCTACATAATTTATCTTAATCGAATTTTCCTCGGGTAATTGATTTTTCATTTCTTTTACTTGCCTTAAAATTATTTTTTTCGTTGCATTGTAAAGTCCTCTGAACATATTTGTATTGTTGAATCCAAATAAATTCATCAATATCATTATTATAATTATTATTATTATTATGTTAATTTAAATAAACTTATACAGGAGTGGGACACCTTTAACCCCTTCCGGACAACCATCTGGTCAACCTTTCATCATCTAAACATGGACTAAGCATCTTGCGTTTCTGTTGTCTTTAGCTATTAATAAGCTGCACGTAGCTATGTGCTCGGTGGCGTGTGAACTTTTATCAGAAGTTGTGCGACCACAAACAGAAATGTTGGTCATCAGTGAGAAGTTTGTTTATAGAGCAGGAACAGATAATAATAATATTGACACTTGTGTGTGAGGAACGCCATCTATCGACACTATCAACAAGACGAGTCCTACTAGTGATATACTGATAGTGACAGTAGTATTACTACTACATGTAACAGGCACACCAGTTCCCTGTTTATGACATTTTTAGGTGAGTAAGCGCTATCTGAGCCACGGATATAGTATCTAAGGTTATGCTGTTATAATCATCATATAGGGGCCTATCCACGGTACATAGCCCCTAACGTGCAGTGCCATCTACACATATAATAAATGATTCAATTTAACACAACCAGTGCTATCACTTATAGATTTTTGTCAAAATAGCCACAAGCCAAGGATATTGTACAAATTGAGTTGTTCAGACCAGCTAGTCCCACTTGTATACCAATAACTTATAATCACCCAGTACGACGAAATATAAGTCCTTATCAGACTTGGACCTCCGTACTGCAAATATTGTGGATGGCCTCTTGTGAGTGCAAACATTGTTGTATGTTGACTAACTTATCAACGTATGTATAAACTTACAGCAGACTCATAATTGACTCAGATGACACCATACACATACCGGCTAACAGCATACAGCGTTATACTGTCCACATAGATTCTTTCATGATACGAAGGACTCAATAACTCACTACGTGACAAAACTTTAACCTAACTTGTTCACTGAACAAAATGTTCCGATACAGTTTTACAAATACGAAGTAACGTGTATTTCTGTATGTCAGGTCAAACTTTCAGTGACACATATGTGTGAAAAATAAAGCACCTAGCCGACTACTGGTGCATTACACTGAATGTTCTTATCGAGAAGCCATTGAGATATGGGACGAGTATCTTATCTCTTGAATTTAAAGTGTGCAGCTATTTGAAATCGAGGCTATGTGCATAGCCATGGATAAAGTTGGGATAGGAATTTCTTATACAACAATGATAAGTGACACAATAAGAATTTATGTTTTTGTTCATTTATGTTATGAGAAATTTTCGGGATAAATCCATGGTGAAATAAATATATAATATTCATTGAAAATTGCATAATACCAAAACCAATGTCACAGACCCGACTTATCT